GGTTTTTTTTTCAGGGAATGCCCCCGTACGAAGTCTCACTAATTACACGATCCTTGTCAAAGGTAAGAATTACTCTGTTGATCAAGATGGTGCTTTTATTTACTGTTGTTTTTATCTATGAGTCGCCTTCATACACCTACAGAATCGAAAAATAAGCGGATGTCTGCAGAGGGTCTCGATCTGACGATTCGAGAGCATGTGAGATTACGAGAAAAGGAGAGCGCGCTTTAAAGGGTTACCCTATGGGGCATAAGATGCAGATCGCAGGGCCCTGCCGTGCGACAAGGCTTCGGGAAAATTTCTGGCCACAACGTTGCATTTTTTGGCTCTTCTTTCTACGTTGTTCAAATCCCCTGATGGCGGACTCTAGACTTTTCTCATGGTCAGCACATTTTTCTGCTTTCTGTTGCGCAGATGACACAACCCAGCGTTGTCACGTTCATCCCTTGCGCAGAGCAGGGGTCCAGAATATCTCGTCAACCGCAAAGGCTCTTGCTCCCTAATTTTTCCCTCCTCCCTTATTTTTCTTCCTTATTTCTCACATCCCTCTTCCTTATTTCCCTTCCTCTAAATGTCCGATTAAAAGAAGCTGTGGAAACCCTTGCAGTGAGAGAGCATCTGGTTGACAGTAAGGCAATCGTTGTTGAGATTTCCCAACGTGGGGGTCGTATTTGGTCGCTGGGAGAGGGGGGTTCGCATTTGGGCAAAGAAAAATTTATTTTCCTAGTTTATTTTTCTTGTTCCCACGGACGCTGTAGAGGGGCGGCTATTTTGTTCGTTTTTTTTTTTGTTGGAAGGGGGTCATATCGTCCCTTCTTGAACTTCTTGAAGAAACGTTGGCTGACTTTGTTCGTGTTTTTTTGCCTATGACCGTTTATCATGTGTACGTGATGTGCCACCTCTCCTCGCTCGATAGAAAATTTTTTGGGGAGAAGCAGGGAAACTTTCGGGCATCTCCGGAAAAAGTGGTAAGAAATTGGGGAACGTCTAAGAAATAATATAGAGAGGGGGTCGTATTGTCCTCGCGGCTTTTCCCGGTTCAAATGTGCTACGATTACCCTCTCCCCCACTCCGCTCCAGCTCGATGAGTGATGTTGGGAACGAAATGGAGTTGGGGTCATTTACCAACCCTCTAAAAAAGCGGAGGGGCGGGGGCGGGCGGGGCGTTGCGGACTGGCTAAAATCCCCCAAGCAATGTTGCTGCCCTAGTATGAGAGATGTCGTCGCGAGATAGTGAACCCTGAAGAATAGCAGTGCCTTCCACGCGTGGAAATAGGCGTCGGTCTGCAAGCCGCCAATGCAGATCATAAAAAATCAGATGGATATCGTGCATTGACCTCTCCTACTGCACGTTATCTGTGCAGTTGTCGCCTTTATGACTGCACTTTTCGTGCAATGTGAGTATTTATTGAATTTTCAGGCTGATCTTGTGAAAACATTAGTGCGAGCAGGCAAGACGTTGCTGGATCACGGGGCTGTTATTGAGGGTGTTGAATCTCTTGGCTATCGAGATTTGCCATACAAACGGATTGCAAAGCAGACTCGGTATGAAAACTTCACGTTCTATTAACATCGCAAGATTGGGTTTTCTGAACTTATTTGTTTTAGATCTTGGTCTGGTTTCTCTGCAGCCTTGACTTCCTCAACCGTTCCTTTTTGGAAAACCAAATATCCCCAGACTACCAACTTTTCAGCTTTTAATTGCTAATTCCGTTCACACATAAAGTGAATCCACACACAAGCCTGAGGTGTCGTGGCAAGAAAATACCAACGAAGTCGAACATTTTCTGACCTCATGATCTTTGACACTGATTAGGTATTGATAATTTTTGTAACACTAATTTGTTTTTATCCATAAAAACACAGGATGACAAAAAGTATATTGGATGCGATTTCTCCTTTCCAAGGTCCATGTTGCGGTTGTTCCTGTCACTACACCAAAACCTGAAAAATGTAATCTGGAAGAAATCTTGAAGCCTCCCGCAAAACGTCAGGTTCGTTACACATTAACTGCTTTGTGGATATAACGCGAGTTTTTCTTTCCATTCTACTCAGAAGACTGTTATCATTCTCATTTAGCGCTCATAAGCAGTGATAGCTGACACCCATAGGGATACCAGAGTTGTTGTGAAGGCAAGCTTTGAGCAGAATCAAGTCTAGTTCTTCGCGCTGCACACTTCGGAGTGATGTGGACCATGTTCAGACCTTGTGGCTGCGATTGGCAGCGCTCTAACGCAGATCGTTGGGCCGCTGCGACGTCTAAGTCGATCATATTTCGATCCAGTCATTTATCAAAGATTATGTTCTGGGTAAACGTACTGATATGAGGTCTAGTGGAGTAGCAAGATAGTATCACAAAAACGGCGAAGAAAAAAGTTGCAATGGTTCAACTATTGGCGGTGAAGCGCCATCGGCCGCAGTCGCTTGATTTGTGAAGTATGAACGCAGTATTGGGATGCTAGGAGAGGACTGCGTGCAAAGGATATCGGTAAATGCGCTCAATTGAGGTTCCGCTTCCCAGTTACAATGACATATAGGTGTGGGGCAATAATTTCCAGTAACGTTTTCGCAAAGGAGTTGACTCGGGGATAGCGTTGAGTGAGTTGGCTCTGGTTCGGATGCTGTGAACGTCACCTCGCTTGCAACGCCTATTCTGTTATTGAACCACCTTTGCCTCGACTAGGCAATAAGGTCTCACTCCCAACACATAGGTATTCTAGCATTGTTGGGGGACGGGCCGTTTGACAACACCTCTGTGTTACCCTTCTAATCAAGGCTCAGGCCGCCGTGAGGCCCGCGAACAACATTTGCGCTAAATTTTGAAATTTTTGTTGAAAAGAAGTGTGATCTCCGAGCAATCTCTGCGATGGACATGCGCTATTCTTCAGTAACAGCACGGCACTTTTTACCCCACAAGGTCACCTCTTTGAGGCTCAAACTCGCCTGCTTGCCAACGATAACTGTTGATATGAAGCAAATGCGACTCGTCTTTTTTAGCAGTGAACATGCTTTTTCGAAATTCCAGACTTATCCTCGCTGTCGACATTAAACACATTCTTTTCAGGCAGTCAAAGAACTTCGTGAAGGCCAGAAAATGGGTCACTTCACCCGTCAGATGATCTACAAGCGGACAGAAAAAGAATGGAAGAGCATTCCGAAGAGTTGGGCTATCGCTCCTCAGCGACCGTAATCGATATTCTTGGCATTCCAGAGACATTTGTCATTATCTGTATTGTATCATTTACGTCCCACTCGTATGTCATTCAAAGGAGCGCATTCTGCATACCTATAGATAGCATTGCAGTGGCAATTCTGGTTTGTCGACCAATCTCATTTTTACACTTGTGAACCAATCAATTGTTCTTTGCATGAAAAATTACAACTTGTAAACAGTAGGCTTATTAGGTATGATTGTGCGACTATACGTGTAAAGTTGTTATAGATCAAAGTAGGATGCGATTTTCATTATTACATGTGAATTTGTCTCAGGTTATTGTTGTAGCTGTTAATAGCATGTAAATCTTTTAGTCATTGATGAGTCACTACTTTTTTGGTTCAATCCGTTTTACTGCCCTCGGTTCCTCCTCCTTCCTTACGCCACATCAAACCATTGGAAACTATGGATTACGGTATTCCTCAGTCTGCAGCTGTCCTGAAAATGCTTCAACCAACGGAGCTCAACGCGAAGGAGACGCCGTGGCTGCGAGACGACTCTTTGAAGACCTTATAGGCGTGTAGAGTATTTTACTCACCTAGGAAGAGTCGTCAGTCCGATAGTGGCCTATTTGTGATGAGGTGTAGATAACACTAGACATGGTTTGTAGACGCCTGATCTTGCAATCCTGCCTTCAAACCGATTGCAAAAGCGATTCTCTGTAACGCGAGTTATGGGAGCCGCGCAGGCAGTTTTACCACGCAACAGGTCATGGGATCGGATCCCTGCCGAGCTTAACTTTTTTGCTTGTTGCGCAAACGTGGCAAAAAGTGATTTTGCCGTCACTGCTACTTCAGCTCTCACCTGAGCTTCTCTGAAGAAAAGTTTGCCTCCATTTGTTACTGCGCTTGGACTCCTTGTAGACTACAGTGCACTACAGTGCTTCTACAAGGAGTCCAAGCGCAGTAATAAATGGAGGCAAACTTTTCTTCAGACAAGCTCAGGTGAGAACTGAAGTAGTAGTGACGGCAAAATCACTTTTTGCCACGTTTGCGCAACAAGCAAAAAAGTTAAGCTCAGCAGGGATCCGTGATCCCATTGACCTTGCGTCGTGTAAACGCGGCTCCATAACTCCGTTCAGAGAATCGCTTTGCAAATTTTGAAGGCAGATTCAAGATCAGCGTCCAAAACCACGTCTAGTGATCTACATCTCATCACAAATGGCCACTTCGACCTGACGAACCTTCTCCTCTAGTCAGTTTTACGATGTAAGTACAATACCAATTCACTTTTAAGATGGGGTGTTCTCCTGAATTTCTGACGTAAGGTCGGGTACCTTCTTGAGTAGATTCGGTTTATTCGTTCATTATTATTAAACTCTTCCACTCACTCCTTTTTATGAATAAGAAAGCCCTCCAGCTTTTTGGATTGGGAATTTCCCATCGCCGTCGTATTTGGTCGCTGCGGACGGATTCATAATTGGTCGGCGGGTTCCTAGCGGAGACGTATCTGGGCTTTAGGAGTATTTTTTATGAAACAATTTTTTCCGGTTGTTGAGCGCTTTTGCGATTTCGAATGCCACCTTTCCCTAGTTGGCGTAGCTCCGCGACATACTATACATACCACTGTTGCTTCCGTTAGGCCGGATATGGGGCACCCCTCCTCTACTCTTTCGACACCAGCGCACCGGTTTTCTTAAGAAACACGAAAATTTTCTGGATCGCTAGGTGGTGGAGGTCGTATCAACCGTCAATTTAACCTCCCGATGCTGTACATTATCCCCGGCTCTTTTGATATGTTTTTTACCGGAATAGGCCTTTTTTTTTGGAAATTGCAGGTTTTTCGAATGGGCGAATATTACCTCAAATCTGGACAAATGACCCCCATCTACATTGACCTTCGTAGACTTATTAGCCAACCCAAAACCCTGGTAAGTGCTACTTCACGGGTATTCATGGTATACTCTCTACATGCAATACTTGTAGCGCATGGCAGCACAAGTTCTCTGTGATATTATCAATGCAAAGGACCTCAAGTACGATTATGTTGTAGGAGTTCCATATGCTGCACTTCCGTTGGCTACTGTGCGTGAGCGTTAACATTGTGCTCTTGGAATACTGTGGAACTTTGTATTTTCGTATTTTATCGCTTGACTAGTTGGACAGCTAAAAGTTGAAGTTCTTGGCTAAGTCTACAGGGTTATTTTAGCATGTTAGTGATATTCTCAATGTGCCAATGCTGATGAAACGCAAGGAGACCAAGTCTTACGGAACGAGAAAGGCTATCGAGGTAATGTTTGTAGTGAGGTTGTTAGGAACGGAGAATAGTGGGAATTACTCTTTAATCCTTCATTTCTAGGGTATTTATACCCCGGGACACACGGCTCTTCTTATCGAGGACGTTGTCACTTCAGGCGAATCAATTCGAGAAACAGCCGAAGCTCTTCGGGCTGAAGGGTTGAAGGTTGGTACAGAAGCTGTGGTCCCACTCAGGCCAACCAAGCATTCCCGTGGAGACGGTAAATTGGTACCGGATTTGTCTGAGAGGATAAGGACACTAGCTTTACATCGTTTCCAAATTTTCTCGACGTTTGTCGTTATGCGAGGCTGAACTAGGCAGCACTGACCAATTATCAGGGATAGAAGTTCCCGTACCGTCATCTAAAGGGGAGAGGATATGGGGCGCATGAAACGAGAAAAATCAACAATC